TGTTGAACATGTCTATTTTTTCTCACCGTAAAATATACTGTTTTTTAATCTATAATGAAAATTTAAAAAGTCAAAGTGTATTAATCAATTCTTTTTATTAAATGAAAGTACAAGGCCTAATTTTGCCTTTTTTAATAGTGATTTGATTATATTTCAACCACGCATTCTTCATTAAAATAATATTAAACGCAAATTTAAAATTTTTCTTTATTTTTTAATCACATATTTCCCATCAATACACTATTCAAAAATATATTTTTTTTCCAAGAATGAGGGTCAAACAAGGGCAAACAAGGGTCTAGTAACAATTACACCAACTCCAAATCCATAGTGTCCGACGTGTTTAGAGTTGCTTATAGACGATTCTAACTAAGCCCCTGTTTGATTAACATTAAATTAAATTACATTACATTCCATTTTTCTCTCTCATATTTTCAACCATACAATATTCTATAAAATAATATTACACGTAAATCGAAAACTTTACCTTCTTTTTCAACCACTCATTTTTCTAAAAAATACTATTCCCCCCCCCCATTACCATTTTCAGGTAATGGGGGCCAAACAGGGTATAAATAAAAATAAGTGATTAATATGCAAATAGTACTTGTAGAGTTTATAAAAATTATGAATAAAAAGTAATTAAGCTTTCTTTTGGATACAAATTACACCAACTCCATAGTGACCGGCGAAATTGGATTGGGAGAATTTTTTATTTTTTTAATTATTTTTAATCAATTCTAATTATGCCCTCTTTTGGATACAAATTTATAAATAATTTATAAATTTTATTTAAAGTCAAATATTAATTTCAAGTATTCATAAATGAGTAGTGCTCAACATTAGGGATGATCCTCATTAAGTAACGTTAAATGATAAGTCCAATAAAGTGAGTCTCTTATCCACATATTTAATTAGGCCATGTTTGATTCTCATTAATCTAAAATTCATAATTCCTCAAACTTATTTTTAACCATACATTTTTAAAATAAAATATTTTTTCACATAAATTAAAAAAATTTGTTACTTTTGATTCTTTGAACCACACATTCTCTAACAATTTACTATTATAAAACTCATTTTAATGGAATAATCGACATCAAATAGGGCATATGTTTCTTCTCATTTTAACTACACATTGTCCAATAAAATAATATTACATGTAAACCCAAAATTTTTCATTTTTTGTCAATCACACATTTTTCAAAAATAAAAAAATAAAAATTACTATTCCAAAATACATTATCCCCAAAAACTTATTATAATGGATCTCAAATAGGTATATCATCGACTTTGTACATGTAACATTATTTCATTGAAAACTACTTCTCATTGTTATCCACATATTTAGTAAAATCATCATCTTTTTTTTTTTTTCAAAAAGAAATCTTATTAGTATGCTTCCTTCGACGAAGGACACCATTTGTTCGCATTTACTTTATCTAAATCCACTAATAACCAAAACAAGAATCTCTATAAATTTTCTTATAACTCCCATACAATGTGTCCGCATTCACTTCATCTAGGAACCATTGGCCTAAGCGTATGAAATAGTCGCATTCCTTTGGTTTGGGCGCATATTTAGCCCATGTTCGTAATTTATTTATAATTGGTCAAATCAATTTTTATATAAACGTTCTGTAAAACCTTTAAGTACCATAGCTATAAATAAAATGATTATAAATAATGCACAAGCATGCTTTTAGTTAACGGTGTCAAAAAGAATATACAATTCAAGATCGGAGCAATTCAATCCATTGAAAACATCGAACCCGTATCGAAATTTTTTTCCAACTTAGGGACCCATGTTTGATTTATTAAGCCCCTGTTTGTTTTTCATTTCTTCCCCATTAAAATAAAAAATATGATCGTTATTCATTACATCAAGCCATCAAATTTGAATTTCTATCTTTTGTGTGAGGTCCATAATGACTATATTATTCATTCTCGTTTTTACAAAAATGGGAAACAAACGCCCCTTGAGGATAGTGCTAAACGTATGGTCCAATATGTGAAAAATTTTACAATAAGCTAACGTGGTGACACTTTGAAAAAGTCAATATCTCAAGTATCAAATTATATAAAAACAGAAAACAAAAGAAGAAGGCATCGTTTATGGCCATATTATCCTCCATTCATTTCAACCCTTTTAAAACTCATCTAAGGAGCAAAAATGTATGGATGCTTTTGTATTAGTAGAGACTTGGTGCTCTATTTCCCTTTAGTTTCTTTAGCCAGTAAGAATTGATTATGGTATTTTATTTATTTATTTATTTATTTATTTTTTTTTTTTTTTGTGAATGCAAGATATTTAGAAATTCTTTCATTCAAAGATAATATCCAAATAGCAAAAGCTTAGAGTTAGGGGCAGAAACTAACATTATTATGCCCCATATTGAAATCAAATTTAACGATGAAATGAGGTATTTGAATTTTACAATAACCACGCATTCCAAATTAGTTTTCTTGATAGAATAAGAAATTCGAAGAAGGATGATGATGGGATTGTACGTTATGTAAATTTGATGTGCAGTCGAAAAAGCTATCGAACCAGTGGTACAAATGCTCATCTAAAACAATTTGGCTGTCTGCAACTATGGCAAATTCCTCTATTCCTTCCTGCCACCGAACAAATCTAATGCAGATTGCAATTGAACAAGCCCACGGTCAAAATAGAAACTCCATAAAACAGACCATCATCTACAAGTGCAATTGAACAGCACCAATTCATAAGTCCAATAATTTTATTTTATTTTTTTATTATAAAGGTTGCATTGTCCAATTTCTACAGAACCTAAATATGTCCTTTTTCTCAAATTTCAGTTTTCATTCGTTGTTGTTTTTTCACTTAAACATTTGCACTAATTTCCCAAACTTCATATAACTGGTGAATAACCACTATAAAATTTACGTCAAAACATCAATGTAAATAAATGAAACCAAAATTTTAAGATGTCCAAATTCTACAGAACCTAAATATGTACTATTTAATAAACATTATAAAATTTATGAAAAACAACAAATCTGAAGCAGACGTAACGACAATGTAAATAAATTAACCAAAATAGCATAAATTTGTTGTCATCTTGTACAATATAGCATAAATATTAAAATTTAAAATTAAAGATTTATCAGATTTTCAAGAACCTTTAACCGGATAAAATGTTGGATACTTCTAAATGTACATAATGAATTACCAAGCGCCATGTAAATCCAGGACCCATGTGACCCTGAACATGAATCAGTTTGAGTCAACTCAACCCATTTTGATACCATTTATTTGGGAGTTAATTGTTCCAATGGTAATTGAACTTATGCCATGTCTTTAATTGATTATTAAAATTTAAAATGTCGCAGTTTGGTCACTGAATTTAGGCTCATATCTTCGATTGCTAAATGAAATTTAAAATGTCAATTTTTTACTACTGAACTTTGATAAATATTGTACATTACTCACTATAAGCTCGATATTTTTCAAAATTCAATATTTATGCTAGTAAGTAACATACAACATTTTTCCAAAGTTTAGTGTTCAAACTCGAGCTAGAGTTAGATTTATTAAAAAGAACTTTTAATGAGCACCTCATATAGCTGGACTGGCACGAACATACCTTACGAAAGTGAATAAAGATAAGAGCTCCAGCTTTCTCCCCTCCAATTCCCTGTATGTTCGATAGAGTCAAAGATTGCTCATGCAATTTGAGATCCTCATTTTGGTCAACACTAGAAGGTTAGGCCCTTCCAAGGTTTCTTAATCGAATATGTCAAGGAGAACCCTATCTTCTCCTCCCTTGAGTAAGAAGACCATTTTATGCGGGGAACGCAAGTTTGATCAGGATTGGACAGAGCAAGTGGGAAATCAAAAGAGTGAACAGAGTGGCTGTTGGTTTCGTTGAAGATGTGACGACAAAGAATTTCCATCAACCAATCGTGGTACGGGCCCTCTGATGCTAAAAAACAAAAACAAAATAAAGAAATACACTTTTCGAAGAATGTAGATTCAAGGGCTTTTTTCCAAAGGTCTGATTCAAATAAAGAACTTCATGTTCACTCCTTTCCTCTAGATGTTTCTTTAGTACCCAAGGCTAGAAATTAGTAGGAGATTCTGTTTAACAGATCAACTCCGATCCTAGCTGAGCACCTACTTTGCCATTTTAAACTTCAGTAAGCAATCGAAGATATGGACCTAAGTTCAACGATCAAAACTAGACATTTTAAACTTCACTAACCAATCAGAGATATGGATTTAAACTTATTGACCATTGTAACAATTAATTCTTTATTTGCCTAAGCTTAAAATTAAGCATAAATTAGAATTGGGCTTCCCAATATTTCAATTAGCGTCTTCAACTTTCAAAACTAAAGTTGTGAATCTCTAAGGGTCTGTTTGATTACAAAGATGAAATTTGGGTGAAAAGAAAATGAGTTCTAGGGAATTGAATTGTCTAGAAATTGTTTTCCTGAGAATTGTCAATTTATTGTGTTTGATTGGTATAATTTTTCACGTGAAAAATATTAAAATAAAAATATTTTTTAGTATTCTTTTGATTTTGTTTTACATGAAAATTGTCAGTTAAAATGATAAAATTTACTAGTATTGAGGATAGAATTTATTTCCATTGCCCAAAAAACAAAAAAAAACAAAAAACTCAAAAAAATCATCTATCTTTTGGTGTTCGTTTGGCTTTGCTTTACATGAAAATTGTCGATTAAAGGGAATTTATTTTTTTTACAATAATTCTTAGAATTTGTTTCTATTGCCAACCAAAAAAAATTAAAAATTGCTACATTAACCGGGAAAATGAATTCTCACCATATCCTCAATTAGATGGAAAATATCTATGTGGCAACAAAAACAAGAAAACCAATTCCATGGAAAATAAATGGTATCAAACACCATTAATTGAGTAAAAGATGGAAAACTTATTCCATTTTTCATGGAAAATGAACCAATCAAACACTACCCAACTTGTTTAAATATGTGAATCTGAATCTCGCAGTTGCATTAAAATTACACGCAACTTCTATGTGATTTGAAACTATGTAGATCTAATCGCACAAGTGCTCTACATATTACGTTCAGTTTCTACAAGGAAGATTAGATCAACTGGCAAAATTTCTGGAAAAATTACCGAATCTGTCAACAGAATGAAAATTGACGTTCATAGAAATTACATGGAATCTAGGTACTTTATCACATTCATTGTATTCAAATTGAATTTCTCGCAGATTTTCTTTATACTACATTTACTAAGACCATTGGAATCATCATGGTGAATAACCTCGTCAAGTTCCTTGGACGGGTCGAAAACCTAGAGAGAAAATGGAAAAGCATAGGTCAGAAAGCGAATCGTGATTCAAGTAATGAACCTGCAATAAACTAGGAATGACGTAAAAAATGGAAATCGCTGTGAGCACATGCACGTACATGAAAATCATGGAGATTGCAAGTACACAAATTAATCAAACTAGAAATTACGAGAATTTTTCTAGCTAGACTTTTGATGAAAAATGAATGTGACGTGTCAATAAGGGACGGAAGAAAGTGCACATTTTTCTTACAAATATAAAAAACTGAGGCGCGCGTTAAGCTGAAAAAACGGCATTCAACTAGCAGCACCAGCATTTTGAGAGGTGAAGTGAGAGAGACACAGGGATCATCCAAAAATTCGAACTGCAAGATATGAGCCTCGAGTATCCAGTTTATTTACAGTATCAACTTGAATTTTCCCGATTTGGACGAGAACTTAGTAGTTGAAGTACAAAGTACTAGAAAATTAAACTCACAAAGCAACAATTATCAACATTCAAGTTTCAATATGGATTTTTTATTGAATGGACTCCAGAAGATAAGCGTGTTTAACTAGAAGTAGCTCTATGCAATCAAGACGAATTGTACACAACAAAACCTAGGGACGAAACAGAAGAAATAACTATGAGCAAATAATTGATCGAAATTAATATTTCACAATATAAAGATACCATACCCATGAAGGACCAACGGATTCATCACTTCCTTTATTAGAGTTTGATGTTGTACTCTCACCCTTCTTCATCTCAAGATGCTGATTCGGACAAGAGGAATCATCGGTGACTACATTAAGAAGCTTCTCACTTCCCTGAAAACGATCAGTTTAAGCAAATAAACTCGTTGGTAATCCTGGTTACTGCTTTTCAAGCACATTAGATCAGATTCTGGGATTGAAACTTGTAAGCTTAAAATTCCACCAAATTTATGTAAATAAGTTTATTGTTAGTAGAAGTTTCGAGATATCTTGTTCAACCTCAGAGCTGTCTCTTTCAATTAGGCGATTACTAGCATTCGAATGAGATAATGGTTTTAAGAAATTGCACTAACCTTAGCAGCTCTCCAGTGCGAATAAGTACGGAATAAGATCCAAAAGAATGGGATGTTAGGCAAGGGAAGAACCTGCACAAGGCTCATGCGTACAAATGAAATGAGATGCTTCCAACAGTGCATCAACTGCAATACATCTGCAGAGAAAACAAGCTATTTCTTCTAGGAAAAATAGAGAAAACGACATTCTTGTCAGATATACAGATACGTACCATAAAAACTGATGTCAGTGGCAGCAATATCGCTGATCTATAGAAGTACTGCTTGTGAATAACTGAGCCCCTGACAGTCATACAGAGTAAATGCATAAATATTACATTTCCATGACATGATAAACATAATAAACATTTATTATGTGGTATTAAACATAGATAAAATCAGTCACCTCAAGGACAGTAAGACATATATATTAATGTCACAAGAGATCTAAATTGAGGAAGACTTGATGAATGCCCTGAGAAGTTGTAAAACTTCTCTTAGACCATGATACCATAATTTCACTTGACTGAACCGTAGGAAGAATATGTGTTTCGTACAATCAACACAGGCAAATTTATAACAGCAAAAAACACATCATTATCTTCATCCAAACATGCTAGTGCAGAATCAGCTCTCGGTCACCTTCCTCCACTCAATGGGAGACAAGGCATTCCAACTGAACAGTACAATCTTGCACTGACTACTCCGAGTTCACCAATTTCCAATCAATTTGACCTTCCACAGCCACCTCCCTTCTACTAACTATAAGTAACACCTCCATATCGGACATGGAGATGGCACTACAAAGGAGAATGCACATCAAACACCATATCATGCTTCTCTCTGTGTCTTCCCACCTCCACCCTTCTTGAGGCTTGTCGTAAATGTGAAGTTGCTACATTGCATCCTTGGATTCATGAATTCAAAAAAACAAAACACGATATACACCAGTAGGACAATACTACATACGTGAGCATCTTAGCCTTCAAGAACCAGCTATAGTTAGATGCTTATGTTTTCCACAGTCGGAGACAATTAATATTGTGTTTCCATATAGACAATGATTGTTGTGAATTCTAGCAAGGCAATCAAAGAGCGGTGGCCTACTTCAATGATATGAATCGTTTTCGACGAAATATAAGTCTTCATTCAGCCCTGATTGGAAGTTTGTCGAAGAAAGCACGCTATTCAAAACAATCTCAGAGAAAAGTAAACAAAGGTTTTGCCTATCTTCCAGATTTGAACAGAGTTTAATCGGGTCAGGCTCATCAAATCTTTCACTTCTTATATTCTAGGTTCAGGTCATCATAAGATTAAATTAGCATATGGGCCTCTGTTCTATTCCTAAAAACTCCATCCTAATTTATGACCTACTTGTTCCTAATTTCTCTTGCAACTTAATTTCCATCAAACTCGCTCACATTGATATGTGTCGCTAAATACTTTCCAACTCACTGTGTATTTTAGGAAACGTGCGTGGGGAGAGGATCTACAGTTAGACTAGCATAAGGCTTATTTATTGTCAAAGAAGAGGTCGAAAATGCTTGAGGTATCACAATGTGAGAGTTCTCACTTCCACAAGGCACAAGCCTTCTTTTCACGAAGAGCGTGATAGAAAAAAACGTAGGTTTTGGTAGATCTTATTGATCACCATAATTTAAAACTCAACTGTTCCTTTCTGTTTCTTATACTTCAACTCTTGGTTCTACAAATTATGTTGACATTTCTACAACACCAATTAGATTGACTCGAATGATTTCCTGTTTGTATATATAAAGGCTGAGTGTACAAAGCACTATCTCCGATTTTGAAGAAGGTAGCCACATGTAGGCAAAGAACGTCTCTCTAAGGAGTAAAACAACCAAAGTAAGCTTGGTTTGAAAAAACAAACCATGTTTTATAAGCGTGCACAGGGAGTTAAGGTGACCATACTGTCTAATGGTACGTGTTCCTAATATCATAGTGACCGAAAATAACTAGGTCCAATACATAATACAAAGGATTTCCTTGCCAAAGAGATTGAGAGTAAGAATCAAGAGATCTGGGCTGAGTCCTGGAAATTGAGGTGACCAAATCAAGAAGAACTTTCTTGTGTCACAAAGAAGTGTAGTTTGGATCAATTAAATGAAATTGGACTTCATGCGCGCACAACTAGATGCCCCAACTGATGTCAACCACAAAGTGGGAGCACTGATAATAAGCAAAGTGATGACTTTATCAATGGCTAGTGGGCAGCTTATATATTTATCCCTAATGGCTATTGCTTTTGCACTAGGAATCATTTGTCAATTTCTCTCTCAAAGGAACCAAAATGAAGAACAATATGAAGGTTTATCACAACAAAGCTTTATGCAATTATAGCTTAAGATGGCAAAATAAAGCACGTTGAAGACAATTGACATTTGATCAAAGAGAAGATAGACATTCTAGTCCACTGAAAGCAATTGCTGAATTATGACGTCAGGGTGACAGAAGCCTCTGTCAATTAGGATAGTTATATATTTACCATAATTAGGCAATCTATCTATGGCATGATTTTATAGTATTTGTACAAATATGAACTTACCTAATTTGCTAGCCTAGATTGAAAAAAAAATAGCTGAAATTCAGCCTTGTAATGAGCTGTATAATTGCTGTAAAGCTTGTATTAATCTGAGAAACTCTCGCAGTGAGAGGCATTCAATCCAGTTGACAGCCTCAATTTCAAGAAACGCATACATGGGAATGACAAGTTTATTGTCTAGCTTGAGAGGGAGTGTTGAGAATCCAATTTCAAACTAGTTTGTGCAACTTGCAATTTAAACTCTGCAAGATGATTACTCTATTTTATCGGTTTATGGAATTAAATATCCCTTATTTAGAATAGTTGACAACAATGACATCAACGCCTCAGAACAACAAAGGCATTTTATTGTAGTTGTACTTTATTACAATACTTGTGGGGTTCAAACTGTTACCAGTGGAACTGCTTCCAAACTTTGTTATAGTTCTCCCAAGACTTTTGGTGTCAATATGGAGGGCAATATTTCAACACTTTGTATAATTCTAGCAGGCACATTGATGTGTTAAGTTATAGTGGACCGACAATGATATGAGATGCAACATCAATAATGATATGAATACGAGAAACAACTATCAAGGTAGTGAAAATGATAACAAAATATATTCATAAATTTACCTGAAGGCTATATGCCGTAATCTTCGGCGGACAAGTCGTGGATTCAAACTGTAAATTAACGCAAAAAAATTAATACCAAAAACAGTAACAATCAGATGATATATACTGATATGTGTTGTACCAGTATATATATCTGCAAATATTAATCTTGCACACTTCTTCCACATTGACATAATTTTACTCGGTTAAAGTGTACTAGTGAAACAACTGAAGCAAAGAATTGCTTGAAACAAAAGAATTCAGTGAATAAGCTGCTAGAATTTAGGACTTAGGATTCCATGTTAGATAGAATGGTATTTTGGTCTTTTAGTAATTGTGGGAATGGGTAATATTCAGGGTCCACGAGTCTTAGTTTAAATAATTTCAGTTACACCGCTTGCTAAGAAAGAATCTAGTTGGTCTAGAATGATATTCAGTGGTCAAATATCCCATGTCCTTGACTTTGTATATGATATTATGTTGAAACTGTGTAATGAGGCTTCCTTGAGTGGGTCCTTGGATTCTACTTTCTATTCCAACACATTCTTTTTCTTCCATATTTCTTCTCCTTTTCTACAATTCAAGGACCATAAGTTCATTATTCTCTTCTTAAATTCAAGTAGTAAATGAAACATGATTAGTTATCAAATCAATCCAACATTTCTAGAACCGCTGTTGATACTAAGATTGCTAAAAACTCATTAAAACTACTTCCTTTTTCGAAAAGTCGACGCCGATAAATCACAAAACTCATTGGTCATATAGTCCAGATTGACCATAATATCAATCATAGAAAGCTTTATAAGACATTGTTGTCCTCAGTCACTTTTTTTATTTGGTAGTCCGTAGGGTGTGCGAGGGTTAAAACATTCGACATCCTCAAAAATTTGCAATTGCTACGTAACAACCACAGACCTTCCCCATCTTGCCTGTTCACTTAGGGCCGCTCACGTGCAGCAGTTAGGTTACATACTGTCCAATAGGGTTGGGCCCCAATGTGGTTTCCCAGCCTTAATCAAATATTTCAATCAAGATGAATAAAACTTTGCTGCATGAAAATTCTACTTTCTCACTCAACCCATGGTGAACAGAATCTAATAATTCGTCCAGCTATCATGATTTCCATCACTAGATTAACAAGTCTCAGTGTAAATATTTTGCAGATCACAATTCTTCTCTTAATTGGCCAGGAAGGCTTTCTTTACTAGTCAAAATGAAACCAATAAAATTGAAGAAAATGCGATAAAAAGGGAACCAAATTCAAAATACCTCGATGGATATGTGATCTCTACACATTTAAGCTCCTTTGGAATGGATTTGAATAAAATCTCCGTCGGCTTCACACGTGACAACAGCTTCAATCCAACCCTAAATTTCACCATACCAATGAGCATTCAACAAAATAACTAAATCACATTATTTCTTTCTCGTCTTTTCCCCAAATCAAAATTTCAGTACCCCATTCATTCCCGGATAAAATCAATCTCAAACAAAAGAGGCTAAAAATTATTAGTAATTTAAATATACCTATGAACCTTGTTCTTCAAAGTCCCTTGAGGCGCTTTCTCCAGATTAGTCCAAGCTCTATTCATCTATACATGTTGCATACACATACATTAACACAACCCTTTAAGCATTAATCATTAGCAATCTGTATTCATCACAATCACAATCAATAGCGCATTAATCTAGAATAGCCATAACCCTTTACGCATAAGTCAATGATAGCAAGAACAACAAGCATTAACACAACCCATTACGCATTAATACAAAACCTCTATTAAAACCAAAACCCAATACACATTTTCAATAAAATGAATTCAGACCTTGTTCGCAGCAAAATCCACAACAAGTTCAACTTTGGAGCCATCAGAAGCGTTATTTGTTTTGTATGGAGAAGAAAAAATTGCTTTCCAGAGGTCTTTGAACGTGGAAGGAGTGTTGGAAGATTGAGAGGCTACAGTCCCAGAATCAATGGAACTGCTAAAACACCAGTTCCTTCCTTTAATAGGAAACACAACCAATCGAGCCTTCATGCTTGAATAGTAATCTTGAAGTTGAATGGGATTTTACGCTTATTTTGTACTGGGAAATTGATTTGAAGATGAAACTTAGCAGCAAAGAAACGGTATTGAAGCGACGGAGTCCGGGTGCTGAGAGTATTTGGAGGATGACGATGAAATGGAATCCACGTAGGCTTCTACTCAATGAAGTTTGACCAAGTTCATTGGTTAACAAACTTCCTTATGATCATGTTTAATTTATCTTTAAATTTTTATTTAAGTGACTTAATATTTTACAGGAAAAATAAATTATTTTACTCGAGGATTTGGACTTTAATACTAGTAATATTTAATTAGTTGGAAACATTTCTTGTAAAAATAATAGTGTTTCGCGCGGGTTAATTCGCTAATAATTAAAAAAGAATCAGACGATTGTGTAAGGGACGAAACCTCTTGAGACAAAGTCCCAAAAAGGGGTGTTCTTTTATTGGCGATGAACTTTACAATTGGAGATGAAAAACAACGTGCCTCCAAGGAGCGCAAGCACACGAGTTACAAAAAGAAGAGTGTTTAAGTCTAAAAACTAAGGAAATGAAAGTTACATATTCTCTGTTCGAGAGTTTTGGATTCGGTCATTTGCTTCTACGTTCTTTCTCCCTTTTATACCTCATAGACGATCTCTTTGTGATTAACTACTCTGAAAACTGTTTGGTCGTCCTATAACTACCCACTTTCTTTGTAGTGGCCATTTTGTCATGAAACTGCCTTTTAACTGCTGCCATTATCTTTCATCGTTCAACCGCTTTCGATTGAATTCCTTGAGTTGTGGAACGTGATAGGGTTACTTTAACAACTGCCTTGATAACTGCATTTCTTGATAACCACAATGCGTTATATTTGTTGATACCTTGGGCGACTTGAAGGTTTGGGCGAGAATAGAATAACAGCTCTAGGCGACCGTATGACACTCCATTCGTTCAGATTCTGGGCGACTTGCAAACTTGGGCGATGGCGTTACCGCATTCTTGGGCCCCTTATTTGGGTCTTCACTTTGATTCCTTCGATTGGACTTCGTTCTTTAGGCTATCTGATTTGGAGATCCTCCAATTGGGCTTTACTCCTTAGACTGTTCGATTTGGGCTGAATTTTTATGTGTCAACAAATAGTAATATTTGGTTTATATAAAAATCAAATTTTTAGTGAATTTTAATAATATTTGACAAAATGTATGATTAAAAAATTGATAAAAGCTGTAAATTTGACGAAAATGTATGATTAATAATATTCTATTAGTCTGTCTAATGATTTTCAAAATTATATTATTAATGTTTGTACAATTTTTTATTATACAACATCTTCTTATACTAAATAGTTTCTTAATTATTAAATTTATTACCTAAAAAAGAATTCACTAGCAGCAGATGCAAAGAAATCACAATATAAATGTTTCTATTTATCCGCAGTTTACAAGATTCACAACTCACAAGAACAGGTGCAGTAAACAGATAAAACTCACCAAAGCTTGGGGGAAAGAAGATACACAAACAAAAAATTGATATGCTATCACTATTATTATTGTTGTCGTCGTTATTATACATACATCAGAGAAGATATCACGAGACGAGAGATCATGCAAAGATTCCATCTTCAGTAGGATAGACTCTTAGAACGGACATCCCACAGAAACCAGAGCCAATAGCCGACCATTATAATTTCATTCGATTATGCAAAGCCAGGAAGAACTATTCATCTTTGAGCAGCCTTGGGCACAGAGTGTTCTAACAAGAATGTGCATGATTTCACTCATCTTCTGCAACAAAATTTGGCAGTTCACCCTGACAGAGGTATTCATCGCATGCAGATGCCGACCCCCAGTCCTTCCTCAGTCGCAATATATCGTCAGTGAATGTGGATCCTCCGGATCCAATGAACACAGTAGACAAAGCACAAATACTCTTATCCAGCATGGCTTCAACCTATGTTGGGATAAATGTTAGTTAGATAGCAAAAATGGAAAACAGAAAAATATTACTCAAACAAGTTAGCATGCCCAAAATGAAAAATAAAACAAACTCTGCGACTGTAAGAATGAGCATAACGATGTTACCTGCTCCTAAAGTCCAGAAATTAAAATTTTAGTCTTAACAGACTTCTACAATTTAAAAAGTTCTGGAACTTAAACAATCTACCAATTTCAGAAACTGTGTGAATTCTCAAAATCCATGTTTATGGGGAAGTTGATAAAGTGATATGTTGGTTGTTAGACTACCCAAAGCAATTCTCCTCCGTTATCCAAGCTTCAGATGACACCAAAAATATGACAGAAACAAATTGTGAGAAAGGTGAAGTTGAATTTTTCAAATAAAGATAACGAGAGAGAGAGAGAGAGAGAGAGAGAGAGAGAGAGAGAGAGAGAGAGAGAGAGAGAGTCAGGTACATAGGAATGGCTATCATTCTCTATTTCAAACCAACATAAACTACTTATGGCGCATAGACTGGTTCTTGCAGTATTGAACTGTACAATATTTGAAAAGCAAGAATAGTTGCTGCAGATAGCAACACCCATTCCACTTCAAGATTGATGTGCTTGTTGATAAAGTATGTGCATAGACAGTCGAATAATATTACTAAATAATACCATCCAACAAGATAAATATCAGCGTCTTTAAATATTTGAGGAAATTTCTCTGTAGAAAATTCAAAGATTGATGTACTCGTTGATTACGTATGTGCATAGAAAATTGAATATATTACTGAACAGTACCATCCCGACTACATAAATATCAGTCTTTAAATATTTATGGAAACTACTACATAGAATATTCAAAGATTTAAGGCTAGTGATTTCTCATGCTAAATAGTTCTTTAACCTTGGAAATGAAGTGAATAAGAGAAACATCTAAATAAGGAATATTGGCAGTCATGCAAAGCAATAATTGGCATTCAATCAACATTGGTGAACCTAGAAGAATATATAAGTTCACCTGGGCATCTCCTTCAAGCCCGTGTCGGTATAATAAAGCATCCCATTTTTCAGCTGAGTTACGAGCAGGCCTCTGAACAAGTGGTACAGTCTTACCATTCCAGACTACACCTGACTGTAACAAACCGATTTCACTTTCTGCAGCATCTGTTGAAAGATAAATTACTGGAGTGTTGGCCCTTTCAACAACTCGGCTGATGCAATCTGAAGCTTGAGGAATAGGGTAAAAGCAACTTGGTTTCTTGGCGTTGCTGAAAAAACATTCAGCAAGTTCAGTTAGTTCATATAAGCATTCAATGTAAACAATCAAATAGACTCCAGACTTTAAGAATTAAAAACGTACCAGAACTTTAAGAAACCATGACGCCGGAAATGAAGAGCTACAAAATCCTTTCCCAAGAATGTCTGAATAAATCGCTGAGCAGTGAGTATAATGAGACGGCTAGGTTCAATTAATGTCTTGCAGTTGTGGGCAATGGGACCACCGGGCTGCATCACCCAATCTCTCTCCACATCAGCAAAGAAAACATCTCCAATAGCAATAACATCATCATTAGAAGAGAACTTCGCCAAAACATCCTGAACTGTCTTTTGCTTTGGCTTTTTAGTATCTTCACTCCAGACAGCGTCAACCTTACTCAGGGAGAGCCCCAACCCCTTCAACTTCTTGACACGCTCGTTGTCCATAAAACAAGGCTGAGGCAATGAGAAATAACACAGAAACTTATCAATATTCAAATTACTCTTCTTAGTCTCTGCAAACTCCTCAAATGTCACTACAACTTTCCTCCCCAGACACTTGTTAATATGATCAATATCCAAAACACGGCTGAACTCGTAATCAACCTTTGCACTCGGGATCACCAAAACCCGATTAAGAAGGGCTGCAAAGAACATATGCTTCTCTAAACAAATCAAATGGTTCGACATTTGCCCTGATACACAAATTGCAAACAAATACTTATTTAACCTTGGTTTCCAATCTATAGTCCTCCTATCTGATAACCTCTGGTCCACCTTCCTACACCTACTCCAATCCTCAAAACTTTCATCTGAGTAATTGCCATTGAAATCAACAAAATCCCCACTATCATGCGACGACAGTAAAACGCCTTGTATTCGTCTATTGATAGAAATTTGACTAAACAACTTGGATTTCAGATCCTCCAACATAGTAATTTTATTAAGGGAACTCGAATTCCCCGAATTATCATTATTACTATTTAATGCACTCAAAGATGATTTATTATTTACCAATGCAGTATAATTCCACAGCTTGAAAAGCTCTAATTCCTGCTGCTTAAGCAAATAAAGCGCGCGCAGTTCCGATTCGCGCATCCGATTAACAGAGGCATTATCAGGATTTTTTAGAATCGAAATGTGGGTTTGAAAGAGGTTTTTCAAGTCAGTGGTGAAATAAAGAATCAAAATAACGAGTGGTAACAAAATCGCGAAAAGGTACCTCTTATTAAACCTGCTCGCAGTACCTGAGATTCGTGACTTCAAATCATCGATTTGAAAACTCACAACGCGTGAATGATTTGGGGATTTTACAACGTCATTTCGCCTGTCGTTCTGTGGGATCAGATTCTCATGATCCTCCTCTTCATCTGAAGAATCCCTTTCCATCATTTTTCTTTGTAGCCTTCAAATTTTTCACAACAATAGTAGAATGATTCAGATTTACTGTGACTGATGATTGTAAAGGTAGAGAAATACACACAATAGCACACAAAGAGTGTGTGAGAGAAGTGGGGTTTCTGCAGTGAGCGTTACTCAGATCTATTTGGAGGGAAGGTGGGTTAATTTTGATCGCTGTAATTTTGACTTTATTTTCAATTGGGTCACTACATTTTATTTCTTTTCAATTTTAGGCCACACAATTTCGTCACGGCAAGATATTCACGTGGCCATTAAATACTAATCAACATCCTATGTGTCAATCAAAATATTACGTGTAAGAAGTGATTCTATAATAATAATAATAATAATAATAATAATAATAATAATAAATCAACTATTTAAATTATTTTCAACCTACAATTCGAATGTTTAAATCTTTTTATATTACTTCTTTGACATAATTTTTTAATGCCATATCGGATGATTGTTAGTATGTGGTGTTAGCTACCAATGTAATAGAGTTATGAGATGGGCACTGTATCTTTCTAAATGATGTAAATTGGAATACTGATTGCTTGCATTAACTTCCTTCTAATGTTCAAACTACGCTCCCCGAACTTTTTGCTTCTGAGTATTGGGCCTATGGTCCATTCAAAGATTGGAGCTTTACAACCCTTCCATACTCGTCTTTTTTTATATATTAAACAGAAAAGGCATATCTTGAATACTGTTCTCCTTAATCTTAGGGTAGGCACGGAATCAATTAACATCTAATAAACAAAGAGAACGATTTAGGGTAGCAAGAACGGCCAAAAGGTTAGAGATTGAATGAATTAGCTTAAATTGAAACAAAATTAGCCCATGTTTGATGGTCATTATAGTGTAAAAATGATGTTTTTAATAATGATTTTTAGAGAATGTGTGATTAAAAAGTGGAAAAAAGTTTTAAATTTATGTGCAAAATATTTAATCGTATGAACGTGTGTTGAAAAAGGGCGTGACAAATAAATTGTTTGTTGTTTTAAAGGGAGTCAAACAGGACTAAAGCAAGGTGACCTAATTGGTATAAAATTAAAATATAGTGACCTAATTTAAATTTAGATTAAAATAGAGCGACTGCTAATTAAATTAACCTCGAGGAAGTGTGAAATCAAAGAAACGGTGAACCAAACAAACGACTTATAATCATTGAGAGAGAAGATTGTCGGTGAGCGAAAGTGACCGGTCACCGGACCGGGTTTATGATACGGCCCATTAAAAAGACCCGACAATTCGTAGCCCACCTTAAATGGATTTCAGAATGTGGGCTACAAATCAACGTGTCCAGCAAGTTGGTTTTGTTAATATGGCCCGTCCGTCAGCCCAAACGCAATGCTACGCTACTTTAGCCGTGTTGACACAAGTCGAGTCCAAGCCGGCTCAAAAGCCGACTCTTTTATTAGAATTTAATAAAATAAGCAAAAACAATGAGTCAATCCACGAGCTTAAGATGAGCCACTGTGGACCAAAATCTATCTCAACTTGGTCCATGGGCTAATCTCAAAAGCCTGAGTCTGATATCGTTACACATTTAATTTGTATTTTTTTCTCTTGGACGATTTTATCCAATCTAATCAACCATGTCATGTACTTGTGTCCAATGTGCTGGGTGAAGATAATTATTGACATAAGGAGCTATGAAAATGGTTGATAAATGAGTCAATTGATGGGACAATGAAGAGCCTAAAGATGTCGAGTTGAGTAACATCTTATCGAGGAGACAAAATTTACTACTACATGCTCTGGAGAGTGTGGTTGTCAAGTGAACAAACTTATTCGATCCACAACTGAGTGGTGAGTTGCACTATACCATATATAATGTTTGAGTAGGAGCCAAGTTTCTTTGTTCAAAGCATTTGATAGGTAATCAAGCTCAGGCATTTCGAATAAGACTTTTTCTTTTACTTCTTATAAATGAGTTTCATGAGAAAACAATAAATTAATTTTAAAAGAGCTTTCAATTAAGGCGATGCTTTTAGAGAAAGTTATATTGGACTAACTTCCTCTAAAAACTCTTCTAACTAAAAGAAATACTTTTATAAAATTATTAAAAAAAATTATTCACATGAATCCAAAAATCAGACCGAACGGCCTCTTAGTCAATCTCAATTTATGGGCTCAATTAAGTCCAATTGGTGAAAAGGATTTTGATCGTTGACCCTAGCCCAGTTCTCAAACTTGAGGAGAATTGGTCAAATTTCAAAATAAAAAGTGGTCCAAGCATATAACTGCCCAACCCAAAAAGAAAAAAGAAATCAAACACTTCCAGTATGAGCCTCATTATTCTCAAAACTCATTTTTAACTACACATTATTTAATAAAATAATTTTACACGTAAATCTAAAAAATTTTAACCATATATCCTCCAAAAAAAATCACTATTCCAAATTACATTATCCCCAAAAAGAGCGGCTCAAACATGGGCAAAGTTGTGGACTTGTCGGCAAGGACCTAGTGGATGAACTTGAACATTATCAAAATTTTAATTGGTAAAATTCTAAATGACATTATAGCTAAATTTTGGAAGATGTTGAATATTTTCTTTAGTCATTGAAGTCCATTTAATATGGGACAGTTATAAGAGAAAATCACAAATAACTGGAAAAGAGAAGAAATCCAAAGAATCCATGAAAACGTGCATAACTTTCAGTTCAGAAGTCAAATTTTCATCAATGAGTAGAATCTAGAAGTGATTTCGATTCAGGACATATTTTTTGGGTCAAATTTTCGAAATTCCATTGTTTAGAACATAACTTTTGTTTTAAGTCGGTTTAAGGGTATTTTCGTCACTTTTATAGCATAACTTTTGTTCCGAGCATAACTTTAAGAGTCGTTTTGAATAACTTTTGTTTTGACTCAGTTTAATTTTATTTCAAAACGTGCATAAATTTTGGGTCAAATTCTGTTGTTTAGATCTCGGTTTGAATTAGTTTAAGGGTATTTAAGCCACTTTTACAATATTTTAGTTTTATCCAAATTTGTTTAATAGTTTTTTAGTTTTATTTGGATTTATTTTGTAGTTTTATAGTTTAGTTGGATTTCTCTACAAAATTCGGATCTTAATATGATTAGAAGTTGATTTGAGTCTATAAATACGAATTAAAAGTTGTAAAAATAATTAATTCATTTTTATTAATTAATAAGATATTTCAGTTTTCCATTAATTAGTGGATTCCTATATTTATTTGGTTCATTCCAAATATTTATTACGTCCGCTCAAATAAATACAAGCAAACATTTCATTCTTGGATTACAAACAAAACCATTTTATTATTGTTCACATTTTCGCCATACATCAGGTAATATCAGAGCGATGATTGACGAGTGGATTAATGTTTTAGAGAGAAAAGTAGGTGAGGTTTGAGACGATTGAGACTAATCTAAAAGAATTGGGCAACCAACTCAAGGACATGCTGGTTGCCTTAAATCCTGAGGTCAGTAATCTTAGACGGTAACCACCCATCAAACTATTTAGGTTGTTGTCCCAATCATTTCGGTCCCAATTTTAGCCCCTTTCACTATCATAGTCGTCATAATGACTATGAAGGTTAAAAAGTTAAAGTGGAGATTCCTGTTTTCAATGGAAGTTTAGATGAGGATCAAAATTATATCGAAGATGAGGTAGAGAAAGAATACATCAATGAAATCTGTGGAAAAGAACAAAGAGATCTTGTATGTATTGTATAGAAAGAATTATACTTATCTAAGCAGGAAGAATTGACTTAGCGTGGAAAGATCTTTCAGGTTAATAATTCTGTTTACAGTCTCATCATAGATAGTTACAGTTGTGAAAATCTAATTTTCATGAAACTGGTGGATTATCTGAAATTGTCAACCAAATCACATCCAACACTTTATCAGATTAGTTGGATTAATAAGGGGTCCGTCTATTTAGGTGACCCAAATTTGTAAAATTAATGTGGATGTCATATAGAAGGGTAGAGAAAATACCTACAAGTTTAAGTGAAAGGATAATAAATTACAGTTGCACCAACAAGAAGGGTACAGAAAGCCTCTAAAATGGAAGGGAAAACTTTCATGGCTATTGCAAATCAATCAGTAAGTTTTTATCCGATGAGCCTTTGTTTTGTGATGACAACTCAAGGTTAAGTATGGGATGGTTAGAAGAGAAAATCATAAATAATTAGAAAAGAGAAGAAATCATGATTTATTATGAAAACTTGCATAACTTTTAGCTTGAAAGTGGAATTTTCGTCTGTGAGTTTAATCTGGATGCATTTTTCGATTCTACACATGTTTTTCGAATGATATTTTCAAACTTTTGGAATCAAATTCCATCGTTTAGAACCTCATCTGAATTTTTTTTATATTTTGAGTTAATTTAAGGGTATTTTCGTCAATTTTACAATATTTTAAATTTATTCAGATTTGTTTAATAGTTTTTTAGCTTTATTTGAATTTGTTTTGTAGTTTTGTAGTTTAATTGGATTTATCTACAAAATTAGGATCTCAATTTGATTAGGAGTTATTTTAAGTCATAAATACACGTTAAGGTTGTAAAAATAATTGATTCATTTTTATGGATTAATAATATATTTTCAGTTTTTTTATTAGTTGGTGAATTTCAATATTTATTTGGTGGATTTCAAATATTTATCACATCTATTCGAGCGAAATACAAGCAAACACCCGGCCGTGTGTTAGGAACAAGACCCTTTTATTATTGTTCACGTTTTCATCTGGCATCACTATTTTATTACTTACTTGCATTCTTACTACACTCTTCGTTGGTAGTAACAATGAGCGTGGCATTAGAAAATGAAATCCAAGATTCTTGATGTAATTTTTTTTTTTTTTTTTTTTTTTTAAATTTTGAAGTTCCTTCATGTCAAATCACTAAGAGAAATACAAGCATAGAACATATCTTAACCTATTGGGAATGAAGAACGAAGATTAATTGCTTGTTCTTGATTGTGGGTTCTTAATCTTCCTTTTCAATACGGTTTCCTTCTGTATTCTTCTAATAATGGAATGTCAAATAGAATGAGAAATTACGTACAACTTAAGGACCATAACCCTATTAGATATTTTCATATATATTTCGATCCATCATGAAATACAACACGAGAATATGGTCTTCACGTATAATTAGGTATATACTATATTAGATGTCCAAAGTC